GCATCGCACGTGCACTTTACTAGTTGAATAAAATGTATAGAAAAATCGTGGTAAAATAGAAAACTGAGTAGAACCGTGCATTCCGGTGCAATTTCTGTTCTGTTATTTCAATATATAAAAAAAATTGTCTAGTTTCAGCTGAGTGTTTTCTAAATTGCAGTGTTGTTTAGTTATTTTTTATATATTCAATTTTTCAATTTCTTATAGTTCGATGCTGCTTTCTCTTCGAGTCGCACCGTTGCTCACCCCTAGAAATAATGATGCTTGCCTACTGTACAATGAATATGCCAAAGCACTCATAAACGAAATCTCATAAATGATGTATGCAGTAAAAGAAGACCATAAAATTACTAGTATTGCATGTGTTTGCAAACACTTATTGTTCGATTTTGTTGGGATTCTACGCTTATAAATGTATTGTTCTTACATAAAATCCTAACATATTTGAAGTGTTAAATGAAGTGGCGAATTGTCTCTCATCTTCAACATCATTTGACTCATCTTCAACATCAAATGACGTACCTAATACTAGATATTACTCTTTGATTGGTTTCTTAATTATAATATACTTTTATCATTGTAGGAATATTTTGAAAAGTTTTGGAGGCTATGGAAAAGTACAAGACAAGTAAGATAGACCGGGAAAAAGAGACTGAATAGCCAAATAAGCTCTTCTTTTTTACTTTATTTTATTTTTGACTTAGTATATTTATTACTCTGTAAATAAAACTATATTTTAGGGTAAATATTTTATGATTTTAGGATTATTAGCCTAAATATTTAGGCTACATAATCCACAATAGACTATATGTGAGAAAACAGAAAAAAAAACTTGCATTGAATTCGATTAACTCCAGTCCACGGCATAAAAATTCAAATATTGTGAAATATGTAGGTTCATTTATACACAGAAGTCTCATATATATATATATATATAAGATTAATTATTTACTAAAAATAGTAGTGAAAATTTTTTAGAGCATTTAATGCATACCTTTTTTTTGAAATATTTTTAAATATATGCATTAATTGTTTCTATATATACATTTTCAAATAAGATCAAATCAGATATCTCCTTAAATAATTTTTTTAGTATCTGCAATAATTTAATTGATATTCATTATAATAAATTACAAGATTGATATCCTGTGTTTCAATTTGATAATATTTTGGTCAAGATAAATATTATAGCATATTTTAAGATCTAACCATAATATTAATTTTTTTCACAAATAATCATTTTTTATCCAAAAATATTTATAAGAAATCGTAACAAATTGGGTTTTTTCTTTCAATTAATCAAGCGAAATCAAGTTGATGAATAATTTTTTACCAATATAATTTTTTCTTAAGATTTATTTCATTGTATATAAAAAATAAATTATTCATCAAATTAATATAATTTATATTTACGAGATAATGACCAGATTGGAAACCAGGATTGTTTTTTATCATTTTTTTTTATTTCTTTCTATAATGAAATTCTTGTAAAATACATTTTCATTGCAGAGTATGCTAAATAAACTATAAATCCTTATAATGAAAATTAAAAAAATTTGATTATAGAAGGGATTGAGTTTTTGACATTTGCTAAATCAAAGTTGTTTAATAGTGTACAAAATTAAATTTTAAAAAAATATGTGTGTATATTTTGTAAAATATTTATACACTATTTAATTTTAAATCTATTTACATATTTTAAATTGATTAAATAAATAAAAATACTATAAATATTTTTCATTACATAAAATACAAATAAAAAGAAGACGTACAACTTCTATAACGTTTATAAATAATAATGACAATATATGACAACAAATTTTACAATAAACTAAGAACTAAGTATTATAACGGTTATTTTCTTTTATATCAAGAAATAAATATATATATACTAAAATCAAATTTATATTAGTATAAATGTGTTAGTGATATAATATATTAATTATTTTATAAATTAGCCCTAACATGCTCATATTTAATGTTCTGGAAAAAAAAACAACGCTGATTAAAAGAGATGGAAAACATATTGTAACTACATTGTTTTCTAGAATTAACGCTGATTAAAAGGGGTGGAAAATAGATGATAAACCAATTACTTTTTAGATTTAAACGGACAGGGCCTGTGAAAATAATTATTTAATAACTATGTCCCGTGCATCGCACGGAGTGCGTACTAGTGGTTAACTTAAATCAATGAAGTCTCATTTCACTCTTTGCAAAGCAGCCCACATAAAGAAATCTATTGAATCAGAAAATCAAAATATTATATTCCAATACCCAACATATCTCTTCTTCAGGCTGCGTACGAAGAGAATAAAATTGTAAATCTAGAAAAGATATGCATCTAAAACACAATATGTCTCAACACAAGTGACCGCGCGTCGCAATGCGCAAAAATTAAAATTTATATTTTCCTCAACCAACCTCTACTAACTAGTAATAGTGGCAAGTATGGGTCGATCCCACGAGGAGTGTGAATCAAATTGAGAATTTTATTGTATTAATTGAAATTATAAATGCGATAAAAGGGGGGAATTGAATTTAATAACTAAATTAATTAAAATCATAATAAAGCAAATAATATCTAAACAATGAAAATAAAAAATAATAATAAATGAAGAGAACTTTCTAATTCACGGTTCCGTCTACACCCTCGACCGACTCGTCTAATCAACTTTGGTATCAAATCTTGCTATCTTATGGAATTACTAGCCTTAGGTAACGACAGGGTCTGCTAGCCGAATTTTTTTCTTATTTTTAATTTAACCGCGAGACGCTCTACGATTAAACCTGACTTCTTGTACAGTCCAGAAAAACGTTTTCAAGATTTAATACAATTAGCCGTTTTACGAATTAGAAAAATAGACTAGACTAAGTAGTGAACTCAACCGCGTTCGTTCACTTAAATAGGTCGTGTTATCCCCGGTAGTTACCATCTTCCGGTTGCCTCTCATGAATCAAACACAACAACAATTACGGATTCAAGGTCTAATTCAGTTATAGAATGAAATGCCTAATCTAGGTAATCAATCTAAATAATTTTTTTTCTCTGCGTTGCGGCTTTTCTGTGTGAATGCGTTGTTTATATTCTTGCTTTCCTGAATGCCTTCTCCGTGTACTCTCTTTCAAATTAAATAAATAGTGGTTGTAGGATTCTTTTTTCAAGTCATTCGTGTGGAATTCCTCAGCCCATAAGGTAGCCCATAAGGTAGATGCTGCCTAATTAATTGTTGCCTCACGAATTAATAATAAGATGGCCGCATCATGTGACATTAAATTGAGTTAGGTCGGATTCGATCTTTAATGTGCAATCTGATAATAGTGATAAAGTGTAACGTATTATTTTATAAAGTGCAACGTATTGTTTTTATAAAGTGCAACGCAATAGTGTATAAGCTGAACTACTTAATTATTAACAATATTGTGCATCCGATAATCACGAATGTGTATCCTTTTTAACAATATTATGCATTATGTATTTTGGTATTTTTTATGTGCAAATTCAAACTAAAATATCATAAATAATCGAAGTAAATTATTATTTATTTTATCAAAATTTATTTTTTAACTCATTATGTTAGTTATTATTTAGTTTATTTTTTATATTATTTAATATTCGATATTAATTTACTTAATATTTTTCATCATTTATTATTTGTACTAAATATGTATAAAAATTATATAAATAATAATATCTTTTTGTAAAGTTTTTAAAAATTATTGATTTGGCCCAAATACTAAATTGAAAATATAAATAAAATTCTTAAAATTGCAATAAGCTCCTTGTATCTTATCAAATTTTCACAAATTGTTCCCAGCCACAAATTAGATCTGGCCGGCGCATTTTGACGCAGAGCCTCCGTCTCGTTCGCCGGCGAGGTTCCCGGCGTCGCTGACAGGCCGTTTTCAGCCTATGTCTTTGGTGTGTGTGTCTTCGACGAGAGTGTAAGGTTCGGATGACGTCAACGGGTTTGACCGGGCTGGGTCCGTGCCGGGTCAGGGCCGGGTTGGCAGGCCAGGCGACCCTTGGCCATGTCTAGTGGTGGGGCACACTTGTAGTGTATAATGCCTGATTTACCCCACTTAGTGGTCTAATTTTTATAATTGACCATGTTGTGTGCAATTGTTTGCGAAACTGCCACTCATATTTGACTGTGATTTATTAAGTTCTGACTTGATCGCGTCCATTGGTTTCATCGATCCAATGATCCAGGATCATTCTTATTTCTTTCACTATCTCTCATTCTCATATGATCCCTTCTGTATATATAAATACATATAGATAGATATATCTCACTAATTAGAGTTATATACCAATATTTTTTTAATTTCATAATTTATTAATCAAATAAGTAACGTTTTGGATCTTTTATACATATTTTTTCATTATTACCCTTATTTAATTAATACACTACACATTTTGCGAAGAAAATTGTCGATGAGTTTTCTCTCTTAAAAGAACATAAAAAAAAAAAAATGAAAAGAGTAGTTAAATTGATTTCAATAATTTTATTTTCTAAAAAAATATTATAGATAATTTTTTTATTATAAAGCTATACATATTTATTTATTTATTTTGTGTGTACAATATAGATGTCAAATCGAAGCTCATCAAAACATGATTAATTTGATATATTACGTATAAAAAAAATAATAAAAAAAAAAAATTATTAACTTTTAAATCTACTTATAATTTAAGTTAGTAATTTTTTCATAATTTTACATGAAACATGAGGAAAAAAAGATTGAGGAAAAATAATTATGCCTTATAAATCATGTCTATAATAGAAAATGTAGTATTAATACTCTTAAAGATGACCATAAATATCTAGTATATTTATGGCTATTCTAAACCTAATTATTTTTGAATTGAGAGTAAATTAAAATTCATCCAAGCCAATTGACAAAGCATGAAAATTTGACTCAGAATCTCGAAACATGAGAGTCTGTGATGGAGACGAGATCGCCTTAGCATTTATGAAAAAATATGATAGTTTACCAATGATTACACAGTACATCAAAAATTCGAGAGAGAGAAGANTACAAAATTAAGAATGAAAATGAGAAGCCCGAAAAGAGAAGGCGGCGTGAAGAGGGGCCCGTGGACGGCGGAGGAGGACGAGATACTGGCGGGTTACCTAATGAGGGAGGGAGAGGGGCGGTGGCGGACGCTGCCCAACAAGGAGGGGCTACGGCGGTGCGGGAAGAGCTGCCGTCTCCGGTGGATGAATTATCTCCGGCCCTCCGTCAAGCGCGGCCACATCACCTCAGATGAGGAAGATCTCATTCTCCGCCTTCACCGTCTCTTAGGCAACCGGTACCCACATATTCACCTCTATTGTATTCATTTTTTTTTATCAGGATTTATTCATCTTCTTACTTTCACTGCTTTTTCTCTTTATTTTGGACCTTAAAAGATCAATTAAATAAATCTCAAGCTTTAATGACCAAAATAAAATTTGTTTATGCCTTATCTGATCCATTTATTTCCATATATGGCTTAATATGCAACTAGTTCATTTATCTACCTTTTTTTAAGAACGTTTTAATTTTTTTAAGTTTGACGTTCACAATTTAATTTGCTTGCCCAAGTTCATTCAATCAACTATATTATCTGTTTGATTATATACATTTTTTTAAACTATAAAACATGGTCATATCGGTAAATATAGGGCTCATACAGTTCATGACAGTATTGTACATATTGGTCACCAACATTAATTCACTGATTTTATTTTTTATTATTTTTTATTTTTTATTTATTATTTTTTCTTCTTCTTTTGCAATGCCCATCTTCTTTTATGCTTGTTTCTGGTCATTTCTCTTCAAACAAAAGTAGTGCAAAATATGTATGTTATCAGTGAAGTATTATTAATTATTTGCTCTCAAATATATGATCTCTTTTTTCTTATTATATATGCAGATGGTTTTTAATAGCGGGACGAATTCCAGGCCGTACGGACAATGAGATAAAGAACTATTGGAACACTCATCTGAGCAAGAAATTGATGAGCCGAGGGATCGACCCCAAAACTCACAAGCCTCTAATTAACAAACAAAACAACAACCAATTATTGAACGAAAATGGGATTAACGTTGAAGATGGAGATACTGGATTAATTATGAGTAGCGACGATTGTGAATCTAGTCATCATAAGAATGGCATGACGCTGGAAAAGAATTCGACAAGTGTTGATGAAGGAAAATTAGTAATAAATGTTAATGAAGATGGAGCTGATTGTGAGGATGTCATGATAAATAATTGTTGCCCGGATGACGCATTTTCGTCCTTCTTGAATTCGCTCATTAACGATGACATGTTCGTTAATATTCAGCATCATGATGATCAGCAAAGCAGCTGCCTCATTTGAATATGTATAATTTACTTATTTCATGAATTCTTATATATATGCAGGTGTTTTGGGATCAATGCCGGTTCTGTGTACTACAGATATTTTGCTACTCTTTCATGAGCCCACATGTATGCGTCACAATATTGAAAGGATCAAGTGTAATAGTATTTTCTCGGCATTGATCCGATGATTTTTCATCATCTTTCCTACGAGTAACAATTAATATTATTCATCAAAAACACTTAAGATATCTTTGCATTTGACGCCATATAATTGTAGCAAAAATTAGGTTTGCTGTTCTATTTTTCGGAAATGGAAGATTTATCAAAATTATTCTAGGGGGAAATGAGAAATTAGTTATATGTTGGATTAGTACAAAATATGAGTTTTGGTAGCTCAAAATTGAGTTTACATACCTCAAAAGTTTGTAAGAAGCAATTTGTTTTACCACCGGGGAAACCTGTCGCAGGCAAGTATCGACGACGAGTCTGCGACCTGGACTGGTGCCTTTAAACAAATAAGCATATCTGAAAGGTGCCTTTAAACAAATAAAGGCTCAATAACGTTTCTACACATCTATAAATACGCAATGAATGCCATATCATTCTTTGTGTTCATCTCATTCTTGAGAGTTCCGAAACAATAATATTGTTCACCGTAAGATCATGTATTTGATTATCGCTATACGCAAGTAGAAGTTATTGTATCTTGGAGGCATCAGTAGTAAAACATTGATAATTTATAAGGATAAAGTTCTTAAACCTCAATTTTGTTTACTTCATTTATAAATTACAAAGTTGATCCACAAACTAAACTGCAATATATTAAAATTTCTAAAATTATAACTAAGTCCCTAGGACTTATCAAACTTTCAAAGGGAAGTCCCCCCTTCCAAAAGTTAAATTTTTCTGTCTCCCATGCTTTCTGCTGTTGTTGGCCAGGGACCTCCTCTTCCAAGGCTGCCACCCCCTACCCTGCCGTCAGTGAAGACTCGAGCCGCGGCTTCTCTCATGTTGGGATGGTGTAAATGAGGGAGTCGAAGATGATGACGTCCTTGGCGGTGCAGATGGCGCCAGCGACGCCTGGATGGTGGAGAAGCAAGGTCGGGGTAGAAGGTGGCGACGCAGGTGGACCGGACCACCACGTGGTGGGCGTGGACGGTGGCGTCGGAGTTGACTGCGCTGACGTAGGCGGTGGCCAATAGAGATACGGCGATGAATTTTTATAATCAACTGTTTTTCCATGGTTTTTTCTATTTGCTAATCGTTGGAGATAAAGATAGTGGGACTGGTTGGGTGGTTGTGGTGGAGCTCAAATGATGTGAGAGATAGTAGGTGCGTGATGGGGCCCACGTGATGTAGATGGGAGATAAAATGTTAAATACACCAGTGTAAAATCTTTGTTTCCTTTTTGCCATTGGATTATGAGATATTATGGCTATTGGCTAAGATGCTTTCTTATTTTTTAAACTAAGAACCATTCTCACAGTAATCCATCCATATATGTATATATTATATACTATGATAGCCTTAGAGCTTGAAGGTCTCTGTCCCTAGGAACGTGATGCCCACGGATCAGTGCGAGGTTGAGATGATGGAAAGAAATAAGAGGATAAGTAGTTGTAAACAGGGCATGCCCCAACCAGTAGTCGGTCTTGCATATGAATAAGATGGTGAGATGAATGCTTTTCTTCACACACACACACATATATAGGGATGAGTTTCGATGAGAATAGTGCTCAGTGAAAGAACTAAGATAAATCTTAGCCATAAAATCTGATGATCCAACGAAAAAAAACAACAAAAAATAAAAAACCGCCAACATTTTTACATTCATTAAGGACTGTAGACATTTCCCCAACCACCCACTATCTACTCACATCAGTGGGGCCCACCCCGATCGCCACCAACCCAACCCATCCCAGTTGTCTTCGCCTCTCTCTCTCTCTCTCTCTCTCTCTCTCTTTTTCTCTCTCACAAACACACAGACACACACACACACAGGTTCATACACATACACACACACAACTCGCTCCTCTTCTCCACCTCCACATGGCACTGTTTAGCCGCCCAAGGCCACCGAAAGCAGCCATCGATCCGTTCGTCGCCTTATAGTTCTCCTCATCTACTAGTCGCTGCTTCTTGAAACCATCTTGGCAATGCTGCCACATCACCGGCGTGCGCGTTCCATGGTCGCGACGATTATTTGTGCAGGCGGTGGTCTTTCCCTTGAAAACTAAGGACAAGATCAACGACAAAGTTTCACAAGAATAGCAACAAATCGACAAGAAAATTGAGGATGGCTACGCTTGGTGGTGGTGCTTGGTGGTGGTGTGGTTGGGCTGGTGGCAGATGGGATTTGATGAGGCAGGGTGGTGGTTATGGAGGCGACAATTGGTTGGACGCCAGCTAGGGCTGGCGGTGATGCGGCGGCAGTTGTTGGAACGGTGGCTGTGGCTTGTAGATACGCTGTGGCTGGTGGTGGTGTGGTGGGCGAAGGGGTGGCGTGTGTGGTGGTGGTGATAGATGGAGAAACCCTAATTTGAAAATAGTGGTGTTTTATTAAAAATTAGATAAGTTATAAGAACTTATCTGCAAATTTAAGAACTTTAACTTAAATACAATTTAATTACTGAGTCAAACTTGTGATTTATAAAAAAATCTAATAAATGCACAATATTGTGTACGAATATGCACACTAAAAATACTCGTGCTGCAGAATGCACAATAGTGTTAGACTAAATGTACACTAATATATCCAAGAATGCATATTAGCGTAACAATTATTATGTGCATTGACCACACGTGAAAAACAAAAAATACATTAATATGCTATTATGCATTTTTAACCTAGTGTTGTTACCCGTGTGCGATGCACGGAATATAATACCATGGATATTTTACTATTTAAATATTACTAAACTATTAAAGACTATGCAATTCTATTTCACACAATATTTAATTCAGTAATATAATAAAATTTATTATTTATAACTTTATAAAATATTATAAATGTATTTTGATCATATGATATTTGCATGTACTTATAAAATTGTCGATTATCTTTTTATAACTTCTTTAACAATTCATAATTTCCACATTGTTCGATAATTGACCAATATTTAACCCATAATATTTATCTTCCTTTATTATAATTCTAAGTGATGATGGTGACGTTAGCCTTGACGGGCAAGTGGTGGTCAAGAAGGAGACTTTTCGGTATTTAGGATCAATGCTACAAAAGGATGGCGGCATTGATGTTGATGTTAGGCATAGAATTGCAGCCGGTTGGTTGAAATGACGTCAAACTTCGGGCGTTCTCTGTGATAAGAGGGTGCCACAAAGACTAAAAGGTAAGTTCTATAGGACGACGATTCGCCTGGCGATGCTATACGGCGCTGAATGTTGGCCTACAAAAAGGCAACATGTCCAACAACTAAGTGTAGCAGAGATGCGTATGTTGCGTTGGTTCTGCGGGCACATAAGAAGGGATAGAATCCGGAATGAGGATATTCGAGATAGGGTCTGGGTGGCTCCAATTGAGGAGAAATTGGTTCAACATCGGCTGAGGTGGTTCGGACATGTCTAACGGAGGCCTCCTGATGCACCGGTGAGTACGGGAGTTCTACAGCGGGTCGATGATGTAAAGAGAGGTAGAGGTCAACCTAAACTCACTTGGGAAGAGTCGGTTAAGAGAGACCTTAAAGATTGGAATATCTCCAAGGATTTAGCGATGGATAGGAGCGCGTGGAGGCTAGCAATCAACGTGCCAGAACCGTGACTTTTACTCCTTTCTCTTTTGCTCCAATCTCTTCCTTTTGTTTTGAGCCATTTTTGTGTTTCTCTTACCATTGGTTCTCTTGGGTTTCATCTCTAGCCTACCCCAACTTGCTTGGGAATAAAAGGCTATGTTGTTGTATTATAATTCTAAGTGCATGAAATGTTAAAATGTTTGAATTAAATTTTATTTTTTAATAACTTTAATCCTCATGCAACAAAATTTTTCATGGTTAAATATTTTATTTTTATTTTTATATTTTTTATTAGTATTTATTCTTTTAATTTATTTTTTTAACCTACATAATGAGTTAATTAGTATCCATTCAAATATTTAGATATATTATATATTTCCATGATAAATAAGTGCTATAACTTAAATTATGATACTTTATTATTTTATTTACTTATTTTTATTTATAAGTATTATATAATAAAAGTTATTTTTTTAAACAAAATATCGAATAGTTTTTTAATGTACATAGATATTTATAAGGTGAAATTTATAATTCTGATTTATACTCGACCATCAAATATTAATTTTATTAATTTATTATTTTAATTTTCAATAGTATTATCATTACCTTCATAATATATTTTATTTTTAGTTTTGTCAATAAATTACTACTAAATTAATATTAAAATATTATTGAAAATACATCTAATCAATATACAGTCAAAATAGTTATATTTAAGTCAATGTATAGTTAATTAATATTGAGTACACAAAAAGTATTTATTTTTTTTCTTATATAAGATTTGACAATAAAGATTAATTAAATGTTAAATATAGACGAAAAATATTTCCCTCCCAAAACCATGCCAATTATGGAAACATAGATTGGTCGATATAGATTCTTTATAATTATTGTGATCATTATGGTAATTGCACGTTACATGGTATATTCCGCCCGCAAGGGCGAAGGCCGATGAGATGAAAAGGCAGTATGATACCACATATGAGATGGCGAAATGTTATGATGATTTATGTTTCATGTCGATTCTCCGCTAATTATTCATATTATAGACTCCAGGTGGGCTAGTTGTTTTGCTCACCCCCCAGAATGGTGGTCAAAAGAAAGAATGTTTATTTATTTTGATTTCGCGAACGTTTCGAACTTATTTATGATTGTTTGTTTGAAACCGAGATCGACGATTGAAATTTGAATGTTTTCAATTATAGACTTAGTATTCATATGCTCTGCTTTGTCATAATTGAAAAGAAAAAAAGTTTTCAGGATGTGAATCCTAAGAACTTAAGTGCGAGACTTAGGTTAAGCAAGAAAACAAAGAAAGGAAGAAAGAAAGAAGAGAGAATAAAAGTTTTTAGTAAGTACCCGAAGAAATGTTTTTGAAAAAGTTCAATTTTTTTTTGGAAATAAGCGTTTTTCCTAAGAATAAGAAAGGGGTGGTATCAGGTTTGTTCTCTTGACCATTCTGAAGTGGCTGAAGCT